GGCTGGACTCGAACCGCTGAAGCGTCGACCATTTCTGGCCTGCAACTTTCAGCGTCATTAAGCCGCTGCGCCACCGCACCCCCCTAATTTATTTCTTTAGCCACAGCCAAATATAAATACAAATAAATCAAAGCCAATAATTCACAATCTACCACAAATAAACTTCCTATCACTTTTAATGCAATTCTTTACCCAAATTAGTTCACAAAACAGCAGGGAAAAGTTTAGCTGTAAATTAAAAGGATCAGAACAAGTGGCTTAAAGATTCCCCAGAGACAAATCTGTGCCTAACTTAAATAAACTTAACTGATGTTGCCTCCTGGTGGCTACTATTCTGAGAATAGGAATGTGGGACTATTGCAGGAAGCAAAATACATATGATCTGTAGACATGAAATCCTTTTATTAGCTGGATGGATGCAACAGAAAGCTACTCAAAACTTCCTTTGGTGAGAATGAATCCATCAGATGTAACCAGTGAAGTTTTACGTTTTTTGCTTATGTAACGTAGGTTGCATGAGATCGGCTGCAACTTAAGAAACAACCAACAGATTCTTTTTAATATGGACTCAAGGTTTGCCACTGGATTTTAATGCAATTGCAAAAATTTGAAATGTTAATCCTGAATCTTTGTGTTTCAGTTTATTCCTGGAGATTATTCATTGGGGTGTTTTCTCTTGCTAACTTCATCTCCATGGATGCTAAGGGGAAAAAATGCAGTTGAGACCTGGAAAAGAATGACTGTCCCAAGTCCAATGACTGTCACTGTATTTTTTTGTTAATTCTAATTTTTCATAATTGTTATTCCATGCATCAAAGCCACCAAGGATCAATACGATAGCAACCCAATGAAACTAGAAGCCTGATGAGGAGTCAGTATTAATTCCTACTGTGTATCAAAGTAGACAACTAGCACTGAGTCAGCTATAGCACTAATGCTGATTTTTGCTTTTGGCTAACACCAGCATACGTTCATATTCATACATAACTAAAAGATAGCCAGAAGTTGTCCTGTTCACTCCAACTCGCTATCTTGAAATGGCCTCCTTTACTACCTCTGTGAAAGGTTAGCACTGCTCAGAGAAGGCAAGAAAGTTATGCAATTGTACAGACTGCCAGTTCCAGGTAAGCAATTTCTCATCTCCCTGGTCTCTGCAGTCCTACATGTGTGGTTGCTGAAGTTTTGTATCATCTTGGGAAGGTTGTGGTGTCCTGAACATAACTTGCCATTGTGCACATATTCAGTGCGCTATGTTTCATCCGAGTCACCCCACAGTGAGATGGGCGGTGACAAATTCGAAATATAAATAAGTAAATAGAAGATCAGGAAGCCACCTTAAAAACATCACTTTCAGAAATATCCCCTGGAAATATCATAGTTGACTAGGAGTCCAAATTTGTGGTCAATGGGTTAAGCAAAATATGTTTGTTCAGACCAATTACTGAGAAAGTTTTGGAGGAAGATGCAGAAAAGCCAAAGCCTAGGAAAGAGACTTTAAAATGTCCAGGGACCATTTCCTACCACTTAAAAGATGGGGAGAGGGGAAAACAGTGAATGCAGCAGACATTTTTAAAAAAACTGTTTAAGGGGAATAACACCAAAATATAGCACAATTTTCTGGCAATGCATACAGAGAAGCAAGGCAGATCAAAATTTGTCCATGTGCCTCACAGATGTAAGAGGAATCAAAATTATTTAAGATGAAAGAAAATCCACAGACAGCCATAGGTTTAAATAGTTTATGTATCAGAACAAGATTCAGGTTGAGACAGAAGACAAGTATGTACAGATGGTTGAGTCCTTCAAAAGAACAAGATCGCTGAACTTGGGAAAACCATCTAGATGACTTTCAATGAGAAAATAAACCATAGCGGTCTCAGCAATGAACACATGTGTAAGGGTAGAAACAGCTAAACAATTTAGTTGCAGGATATAATCCAAAATAATAATATATTATATTAGAAACAAGAAAACACACATGACTTCTAATTGGTTAAAGATGTCCTATTATTCAGAAGAATCCCTTGAGTGCATCTCTTGGAAATCCTTACTTGCAGAAAAGTTGGTATTTGCTGAAATTATGAAATGTAAAGTTGTCTTCATTAAAAATGAAAGATTGCTACTGTTTAGAAATTATTTGGGATCATTTTCCTCACTCGGTTGATCCTCTCATTTTCCCAAAGTCAGTGAGGACAAGGAAGGAAGCCCTTGTTCCAGAGCAAAGAGAAAGGAAAAGGTCCCAGAATGCACTTAAGTCCTGATCATGCTAAGTCTCCAGAATCAAAGTAGTCATTTTGCAGGCATGTCACAGTGTACAATGAATACAGTAAAAGATTATTACTCTTAGAAGCCCCAAATCTTTAGAAGCCTAAAAAAGCCACCTTTAACAAACACTGAACTTCCTGGGGGGTGATACATGCTATATTCTAGGTCCCACCCTCTAAAAACAGTTTTAAGCAGCCAAAACACCTGAGACAATGCTACAAACTGAGGCATGATGGTGTGTTAGGAATTATAGCCACCATTTATTTAGGCTGGCTTTTACATACATATACATTTGTGCCATCTGTCTCTCTAAGGTAATACTAATCCAGTGAGATTATATTATTGGTAACTCTTTAAAAAAAGGAAATGATAAGAGAATGAGGATGATAGCAATGTGGAGCCAAATCTTGTGTAAAGTCTCTTTAGGAAATGAGCTCTATTTGCGATGGAAGTCTGCCAAGCAGTTACTGAAATTGTAATATTCAGTCATTCAAACTGCTGAAGAGTCAAAGTGACATTCAGTGAAATCAGTGACTAGGTACATGTTTTTGTTTCTCTGCGAGCAAATAATACTCTTTGTTCTGAGTAATTTATAATATGACAAAGTTGCAAATGAAAGTCTTATTTTTAGTTTATGCATTATTATCCTACTCATAAATTAGCTTATTTGCTGAGGGTTTTTTTATTGTGAACACATAGACTAATATGCATCTTTCTGTATTTTTCTCTAACTAGATGCTGAAACTTCATCTGCGGACACAATACATCTTAGATGTAAGGTCTAAGGTCCAATGTCAGATTTCTATTAGCAGTATTTTCTCTTCCCATATATCCCTAAACTCTGCTTCAGAGAGTTGGATAAACCATTGTAGCAGATTTCTGGGAGGCATGGAAACCTAACAAAAGCATGCAGATCCTACTTTCAGTGCAATGCTTTTTTTTTTTCTTTTTCATTTTTGGAGGTTCCTGGTGAGTGTCGGTAACCTCTGAGGTGGCAAAATTTCAATCCTGAACCTTAAACCACTTTGAAGGCATTTCCTAGGATTATTTAAGAACTTAAAAGATCTTGCATCACGGACAGCAGTGGGAATTTGAGCCTTTGGAGAAGTCAAGGCCAGACTTCAGCTTTTTCTATGTGCTCAGTGATAACACTGCAGAAAACAAGTGAACCCAGTAAAAGGTGGTGATTCAGCAAACAAATAATTTTACCTCCAACATCCAAAGACAGAAGCTCTCTGGTTTAATATGAGATAGCAGCCACTACCATTTCCCCCCACAAATACTGTTTTATACTGAGGCACTTGTTAAGTTCAAATAAAGAAATTCATCTTACAGTATATTCTTTCCTATTGAGACTAAGCAAACAGTTTTCATATCTAGGAATTCTGACTTCCTATACAACAGCTATACTTTCTAGAAGATGCCCCCATGACACCAGAAGACAGAAGAGAGACTAAACCCCCAAACAAGAAAAATGTGGGTAATGCCAAACTAGTTGCAACACTGAGAAAGAAGCTTGCCACCTTTTGTTGGTTTTGTTTTTGTTTTTATCAAGGAAAAGGTTGAAGTTCACCACAAAGAGATATGATGCTAGTCAGAACAGAACCAAAGAAGTAGACCTTTTGAATGTCCTCTTGGGTGGAGAATCAACAGTGACAACTTCCCTGGCTCATAATCTCTACTATTCCCACAGCAAATTCTGGGCAGGCAAAAAAAAAAACCATATAAAGCTCTGCACCAAGATCACAAGGAACCAAAACAAAACAAGAGCAACTCAAAAGCAGATAGGTTCTGTGGTATGTTGAGTTTTATAAATGTTAATTATGTTATTATTTTAAAGCTCTGTTGGGATGTCTCGCTGATAAATGGATTGGAGGTGATGTTACTTATCTGATTTGCCTATTGTTAAGAAATGGGTTATGGGATGAAGAGTTTTATATTTGTTAATTAAGAGGTGAAGAGATCATGGAACTGTTTATATTTGCCATGATGAGGGTGGGAAGTCGCTTTCTTAGGGGAGAAAGGGTTGGGGTTTTTTTTGCTTTCTTGCATTTTTTTTCCTTTTCTTTTAGCTTGTACTATTTTTTATCACTGTTTTTAAAAAACATTTAATAAAATTATGTTTAAAAAAAAAGCACACAGGTTCAAGCACATACTTCTTTCCTTGAATGGTGGCACTGGGTTTTGCAGGATGCTACAAATGAAAGGAAATGCTCATTGCTGGGTAAAAAATGTTCTTGGATTCTGGGCAAGTATGTTATAAGCATGGAAAGACAGCTGTTCTAAATTCAAATTTCTAAAGGATGAGAGGTGTAATCAAATTGTTCACATTGGTGCACCCAGTTCCCAAAACAACCAAGGAAACTTAAAAAAAACCTCAATTCTCAAATACTGTGAGATAAGAATATCCTCTCTTCAGTGACTTGTATTCAGGATAATGGTAAAACATTCCAGATCTGCTCCCCAGGAAGATTTAAGGCAGAAACTAATTTTCTGGCTCAAAGCCTCTTAAGTGTAGCCTTCTCTTCAACCTTTCCTGGAAATATAGACACCCCAAAATTCAGCCTCTCAGGAAGTACAGACATCCTAGTAACTGGAGTCAGAACTGATGGTTTCAGAGCTTTAACTGGAATGATCTGCCCAGGAAAAAGAACAGATACTCGCTGCTCACAATGAAACAAGTAAAGAGACTCCCAATTTCATTTGCTTATTTTTGGCATCCAGAGCAAAAAGCTAAGATGTCAAAAGTCATCTTCATCTTCCACAAGGAGGGCACCTTGATTTACATGAAGTCATCAGAGTCATTGCCATCCTGTGGAAAGAAAGACAAAAAATATGTGTCAGAAGGGATATTTTTATGACTTTAATATTTTAAGCTGCTGGGCACTTCAGATTTAATACCAGAAGCATTTTTTCTCTTTTTCTTTAACAGTTGTAAATTCCACAGGGACAGGAATATTGAAGTCAACTCTTCCATTCCTATGACCCCAAAGCAGAGGTTTTCAAACTTTTTCATTTTCCAGCACACATCTCATATGCAGTTCTGGGTCGCATCTCACAGCACACATCTCATAGGTGGGACTTCCAGGTCATGAAACTGGAAATCCTGTAACATCACACGTTGCTGGGACTCAGGAGGAGAAATGGAGGCAATCCATCCTGGTGATGTCACGGAGGCAGGGTTCTGGCTGAGGCAGCACACCTGTAGACCTTTCGCAGCACACCAGCGTGCTACAGCAATGCAGTTGAAGACCACTGCCCCAAAGAATGGCTGTAGACCAGTTTCATGAGGTACAATGTTACTGATTCCTTCTGATCGCATCATTAGGGTAAAGGGACCCTTTCCATCATCAACATCAACTCCTGCCCCCTCATGAAAACATCTCTGCATCTGGGTCTCACTCAACTGGAACGCCAGCTGGAGATAAGGCAAACATAGCAAACATATCATGGCTTTTTGGGGACTAAAAGGTTTTGGGCAGCAGGATTTGACTACTGAAGTATGGGAAACACAAGCTAGTTGCTAAGATCTCCTTCCTAGGTGAAGTTCCCTAAATTGAAGTCAGTCATGTCACATCACACCTTACGGCCCCATCGCTTAGCAACAGAGTTCCTGGTCCCAATTACTGTTGGTAAGCAAGGACTACCTGTAAGAAAATGAGTGACATAAGTCACCCACTAAGTTCCACAGGAGGAAGTATTTGAAATGGGGGCAAAAAGGAATTTTTAAAAATGCCTATACAGTATTGAAATGACCTTATATATAAATCTATAGTGCAATCACTTTGGGAATGCTGTGCAGAGTTACATTTTAGAAATTATTCTGTAAAAATGCAGAAATGGACCACCAAAATGTCAAAGTATTGGAGGCATTCTTTTATATGGAAAGATTGCGATATCTGGAACTTTTTAGAACAGACAAAAAGACAAATAGGAGACTTGACAAAGCTGCATAAAATTATGTATGACATGGAAAAAGTGGATAGGAAGAAGTTTCTTTCCTTCTCTTATAATAAGGGAGTTTGGGGATTGTCCAAGGAAGCTAATCAGAGGGAGATTCAGGACAGATATAAGATAATACATTTTTTATCAAGTACATTGGTAAACTGGCCTTTGCTTACAAAAGATGTACTGATGCTGCCAATTTAGAAAATTAAATACAGGGTAATGCTATCAATTATTATTAGTCATAATGACTATGTATGACTTATCCAAGGCAACATGTCCATGAATAAAAAGCATTGGGGAACACAAGTGAGAGGGTGCCGTTGCCATCACAGATTTCCTGAAACCATATGGTAGGTCACTACAGGAACAGAACGCTGAACTGCACTTGCCAGGATAGAAAATGAAGATCTCAAGGGTGCAGATTTTCCTCTGCTGAAGCAGACAAGTATCAGGGGAGCTTATGAATCAATTAGGTAAGCAAGAACCATTTCATTCTCTGTCACTCTACATGTTACTTGGTAAGTCCTAACATGAAAGATGGAATCAAAGACTATCATGATATCCATAGATTCATCACAAAAGTATCAAAAAACATACCTGGTTAGAGGACATATTCTCTGCTTTCATTAAGGAAGAGTAACTTCTGCAAAAGAAAATAAAAACAAATCTTGCAACAGCAATATATTTTAATTATTTAAAGGTTAAATAATTAATGTAAATGGGAATTATTGCCACCGAGGTGAG